CCTGCTCTGGCAGGGGGATTGGACTAGATGATCTCCAGAGGTCCCTTCCAACCCCATGTGATTCTGTGACTCATTTTGTGATTCTGTCTGCAAGGGGACACACACAGAGGACTGGGATGAGGGAATTGAAAGATCTTTGTGGCTTTTTGAGAATTACAACCAGGAAAACATTAATTACTCTAAGCATACCTCTCCCAGTAAGGTATTCTTCACGTCCAAAATCTACTAATATAAATATGATCTATATAGATAATATAAATATGGGAAAAGTTATTTAAATGACCTCAACAAACCAATTCTTGGTCACTGACACTGCCAACACTCTTGGGATTCTTCTTTTTAACTACTTCACTGTACTAGAACCTCACACTACCATCCCCAGTATTGTAAATGTATTTTAAAAAAAAAAAAATTCAAGTTTTCTCTACAAGCTTAATTAGAGAAGCAACAGAGCTTGCTGGTGTGCATTACTGAAATAATTACATAGAAACTATTTGCTCTTTCACAATATCACCTCTATACCAAGCTTTGAGAAACCACTTTAGGATGGCAAATTAATGCTTCCTGGGAAAAAAAGTACAATTTGGCTTAAAATTTTATTTCTGAAGAAGTTCTGAAAAGCCAGACAAGGGCTCCAGGCAGCCTCCTAGCTGCTTTTGAGCAACTTTAACAAGGCATGACATTATTTTCGATAACTAGGCTTTGCCAGACCAGGGTAGTTTTGCCTGAAATTCTTCTTGCCGAGTGATTTATTTTAAAGCTTTCTGCACCCAGTCATTCAACCTATTAAAAAAATAAATACGTATTTCTTTTTTCCACCCTGGAGTCAGCATTAGCTATTCCACCTCCTGTCCCTAATGCCCAGGATTCTCTGGGCAGTTAGAGCTGGATGGGAAGAAGAAGGATCAACAGGCAGCAAAACAGCTTGGAAAAGTGGGGAAAAAAGGATACTGGAGAAGCTTCTGGAGGAGCCCCAGAGGGAAAAAAAAATACAGACCTAAAGCAGACAGAGCTCCTGTTATCCTTAACTTGAGCAAATGGGCTGTTTTCACCCAGCCCCCTCCTTACCAAGGTGTGTCGCTTCATGTGCTCCCGGCGGGTGAACTTCTTCCCGCAGATCTCGCAGGGATAGGGCCTCTCTCCCGTGTGGGATCGCATGTGTCTCTTCAGGATGCACTGATGCATGGCCGAAAAACTGCAGTACGGGCACTTGAACTTCTTCCTGATGACTGTGAACTCGTTGACTGTAAGAGAACAGGCAAAACACAACGATCACTTTCAGGATGCCTCAAAACGGTCAGTCTTCTCATTTACTACTTCACTAGTAGTTTGCTGTGAAATCACACTCTCACCTCTTAACCATCTATATTTTTTTTTAAAGGTCATACTATATTATTACACTTGTCATATTAAAGCTAAGAACTTCAAATACTTTCTCAGCAGAGAAACTTTTGAACAAGCCAATGCACAAACATTTAGCAACAGTCTGTAACACACACTGCCCAACGCTTGCTAAAAGGCAGATAAAGAGGGCTGACAATCTGCTAGAATTCTCATTTATTATAATAAATTATCCTCAATATCAAGATCTAACATCCTAAGACTATAATTTGTGGAAGAAGAAGTAGCCAGCTGCAAACACAAGACCACAAACGTAACACCCCGACGCTGCCCTGTGCTTTAGTTTTGTTTTTGGGATGATGCTCGACCATCCTCACCCTCCCCAGGAGCATTTCAGTGCAGGTGCAGAGAGCACGGAGCACCCAGAAGAAATAGGAGAGTCAAGACCAACACACTCTACATCATCCAACTCTCAACTAGCATCACCATTACGGACACAGGAATATAAAAGGATGCATAATGTTGAATTACAGCAGGACCCTTCAAACCTATCTATAAGACAACTATTTAAAACCCTTGATTGACTGTTTTCTGGCCCCCTTCACTCATATTTCACTGAACCAGAAAAGAGAAAAACTCTTTGAAGCTGTTCTAACACTGTTGATTCTTTTCTTCTTGCCATCTCCTTAGAGGGGCCCAGAAAGCAGACCCAGGGGATGGGGATGGTATTGAGAGCCCAAGGGTGTAATTTGCCAGCAGAACCTCCTCCAAACAACAGAAAAACGCAACATGCAAAAAATACAGGTGAAAACAGAGTATTTGCTGCTCCCCGAGGACACCCACCCACAGTAAGCCTGGAAGTCATTGTCCACCTGGATCTGATTTTAAATCTCCACTTTCTAATAATTCCATTTCTTTCTATTAGTATGTTAATTTTCACCCACTTTTCTCCTAATTATTGTTATTTCTCAAAGCAATATATTGTTTCTGTAACACGGAGGGAATAAGAGAAAGCAAGTTCTAGTTAATCACCTGAACTACGCTATCGGGTGTGTAAATGGCTCTTGGTAAATGAAACCAGTCAATGCAGGGGAGCTAAGGGAATAGGGAAATACCAGACCTGCTCTATGGCTTTGAATATACCAAGTACTTTGCAATATTTTTAGATTATTATCAAAGTTTTATCTGCCACAAATGCCCTGCTGACTGGATGCCCCCTGTGTGCCCTCAGCACACCACAGGTAATGCCCCTGAGTTACATCAGACACGGAAAAACAACTGCTTAAAAATGGCCTTAAGAAAGTCGGTACTTTGTGTACTTACATCGTTTAATGCCCCATTTGTGGACTTCATTTTCCTTCTATTTTTAAAATTTACTTTGCATTTGCCATACAGATAAAACAAGGTGGAAAGTAACTACCTTTGGCACTCATGTAAAAGTGCAAATGACACGATGCTACAGAGACACCTTTAAACAAGGTACCACCACCCTTCATAATCAGAACAAACCCTTCGACACAAGCTCATCTTAGAAAAAGCATTCTAAGACTTTTTTTTTATTATTCTAATGCAGACTAAAAGCATGGTTCAAGATCTTAAAATCTGCCGAGAGGTGAATTTTGTCTCAGCATTTGTTTTAGCTACTCAGAATTAAACATACCCTTCACACATGCAACTTTGTGGGGGGAAAAAAAAAATCTTCCTTTGATTAGCAGTTTGAATTGGATCTAATATTCTTATATTATTTTCTTGTGTCCTAGGCTGCTGCTTTGGGCTGCTCGGTGATGGTGGTGCTCCATCCTACAGGTGCTTTTTTTGGGGGGGGGTGGTTTGATGAGTTTTTTTCAGCACCTTTGTAAAGCTGTCAACAGAAGTTTTTAGCCCGGGGAAAAATAAACCCAAAAAGAGCCTACTCACCTGGGCTGCAATATTACTAAAGAACACTAAAGAATATTTTATTCACCTGTTGGTAACAGTTACTCCTTGCCATCAGGTGGAATTTGAAGGGCTGGTTTCAAGTGGCCGTGCCCTCGCACTTGGGAACCTCCCCGAGCAGATATTTTCACATGGCCCAGTGCCCAGAGCCTCGTGCAACCTCTCATTGACAACTGAACAACCCAGCCCTTCTCCTACCCCACACCAGTCTTCTGATTTAAAAAAAAAATTAATAATAAAAGAACATGAAAATTCTCTCTCTTTTCTATTACAGGAAAAGTTTGGATTTTTTTTTTTTTTTTTTGCTTTGTCTTCTCCTTTGGATTTGACAGCCCTTGTCTATACAATCAGAGGCAAGGAGCCCACTTTCCTCTACGGCAAGTATCAATTTTAGGATACGAAGCAATTTATGATAAATACATTTCCGGTCTCATCTTGTAACTGCTGGAGCGTTAGTGATAAGCCACACAAACACTTGTATTCCCCAGGATCACTATAAACCCATTACTATGGAGTCTAGACAAGGTAAACGAGCTGTAAGCTGATCAAGGGGAGTCAAGTGGGGACACGGAACCCTCCTTGCCCCAGTCCCAGGCCACGTCCAGTGGTACCCGACACCACGAACAGCCCGCACGTGCAGAGCAGGGCCAGCAGGACACGCAGGTCAGACCACCTCACTCGGAGAAAACGGACACGGAGATCCCGACAGCAACCAGATCCCAGGATTACGAAGCAAAAGCGCTTTAGAGAAGAGAATTCCACCAAATCCCCTGTTTCCTACATCGCCAGACTGTACCCGAGCCCATCATTTCTGGAATGACGGGATGCCTCCTCTCGTTTTCTGTCCATACCCGTCCCTTCACTTTACAGGGCTGAAAGGCCTGTAGAAGCTGAAAAGGCCACTCTGAATGTCACCCGTCCCTTCACTTTACAAGGCTACTGTAGAAGCTGAAAAGGCCACTCTGAATGTCAGGTGCACAGCCTGCACCATCGGCACGTGGCTGTCACACACCCATAGCCATCTGCTTCCAACACATACATGCATTTCCAACAACAAACTCCTAACACTTTCCGATTTCAATATCCCTCTCGCTGACTTTTGCTTAAACCACCCAAGAACACCACTTTCAGCTTCTAGCACACTTATATTTAAAAAGTCACAGAACACTTTTTGCAGCTATGGTTTTATTGAAAACTACTTTTTTTCCCCCACCAAATACCTGTAGATATTTAGTTCTTGTATCTACAAAAGTAAACACCTGGAAAACAACAGCAATGTTTGAAAAATAACTGTATTGCAAAGTTAACATTTTCACTGTATATGCACCCCCAAGCACATATATTTCACGAACATAATCCCAAGTTTGGTATCATCTTTTGTCTTAAATGACAATATTTTATGGAGCTTATGTATAGCAGCATTAAGGTCCTAAGAAATAATCTTTAGCAAGACCCTCAAGACCATTAACAGCAGTGCCACAGATAACCAGCTACTGGCCACAGCTACAGCAAGAAACACACCAAGAACTGGAGAATGGAATACAAGGAGTGCCACAGCAAAAATCTATGTAATTAACTCCTCTAAAATATTTACAGATGTGCGGTTTTAAGACCAACACGACAATGCTTTGAAAAAACCCTTTGGTTTTGTCATCTCAAGTAATTTCACTTATTTCATCAAGGTTGTCAAATGAAATGGGCTTCTCCATCCTGGACTGGAGAGAAGAGAAAGCTCCAGTGATACACAGCCTGATAGCACTACTTTGTAGGAACTCTGTAAACCGATATAATCACTGAAATACCACACTCGATTATTACAAAGAATTCACAAACTTTAAGAAGCTACTTTGTAGGAACTCTGTAAAACGATATAATCACTGAAATACCACACTCAATTGATTATTACAAAGAATTCACAAACTTTAAGAGAATTCTTGTCCCCTTAATCCTCGTTATATTTACGGTTATAAATAGCAAGGTGCAATTTAACTGTCCAACTTATACTTCCCATCATCAAAATCCTGCTTTTAAAAAAAGTTTTCTACGCAAACTCTGTGAGCCTCTGCTCTGTTATACCCTATGGTTCCAACATTTAAAAAAAACCCATTCCTGATCCTGAAGGGAAACACTGGAAATTCTCAGAGCTGAAATCAGGAAGCTCTCTGATGTACAGGCCAAGGAAAATATTACTTAAACCTCTATTAGAGAGAATGAGCTGACCCGACTATAGAAAAATAGTTCCACATTGAATTAAATCCTCAAATATGAGAAAAATGAACAAACATGAAACGTCACTAACTATTGTCACGTGAGCGAAGCCTTTTAAAATTTGCTGAAATTACTTTTGCTGGCATCTTACTTTTCTGATTCAGACAAATCCTGCCATGCTGCTCCCAAATTTCCAGGTAAGACCTATTTTGGTCACAACTTTCTCTTTTGGCTCAGCTTTCTCCTCCCTCACTCTGGTTATTTAAGAGGAAAATAAATTACGAAGCAATTAAACTGACATCTGTAAGAGGGGAAGCTGACAGACTGTACACTGTACGCAGACAGCCGTGATCCACAACACCAAAGATGTCAATGGGAATAGAGAAAAAAATATGCATGTGACTGCAAAAAAAATAATTTAAAAAATGACTGAAGTATGGTGTACTACACTGATTATATAGGAAGATATTCTCAACTCTAACTGCACCTCGCTCAAACGAAGAGTAAGAATGAAGCCAAGCAGGGAAACTCTGGCTTCCCAACCTGGAGCAATCCATCCCTGGCTCAGCACGGAGCCAGCTGCCAGCAGGGATGGGCAGAGCAGCACCGACACACAAAATACCTGTTCCCTCTCCAGGAAAGCAAGGGCAGAGGGATCTGGCCCATCTCTCCCATCAGCTTTCCACAGGGAACAGCTTGGCAAGAAGCTCTCCCCTGCAGACCTCCTGCTCGAGTCTGGTGCTTCACGCGCCACCAAGTATTTCACATTTTTGTCTCCCTGAGATGCAATAATATTATGAGAAAGGACTTTCCTGAAGAACTCTAAAAGATCAAGCGTAGAAGTTGCTTTTGTCACCTCAGCTGTCCCTCTCACCCACTAAGAAAAGCACCCCCCAACACCGAGGCTCAGGCTGCCAACAAGCTGTGCTGTACACGGAGCAGCTGGAAAGTGCTACACTTAATTACAGTACTTTAATTTCACAGTAACTATAATGTGGTTTCACATGTAGATATATAGCAAGAGAAATATTTAATCTTAAAAAAAAATAAATGAATTTCATAATAAAATAGGAATTAGAGCAAGACTTCTATCCTCCAGTAACAACCACTACTGATTTTGTATGCGCACCCTAAGCTACAACTGGATGTTCTATGGATGTTCTCAGTTTCAACAGCGTATATTCAGCTTGGTTAACTTAATTACATTATACAAAACAAATGAGTCAGAAAAAGGTACAGAATTCCTGAAGACCACAGCCATACTCCAGTATATTTTTTAAAAAAGTCCTAAAAGTACTCAGACGTAATACCCATCACATATACAACCCTTGCAACAACTTTCAAGCCCAAATAATACACCCTGTTGCACACGTGAACAAGCAGCATGTTTTTCTCCTTTAAATGACAGAGAAAACCAGATTTTATAAACAGCTTATTGGGCTGAGCAACCCAGTGCTTTCACAGCTCCTAATCTCAACCTGAAAAACCCTGAAATGCCCGAGTTGTCTAACAGACAGAGCACTAGAGCAGAACTCAGAAGACTGAATTCTATTATTAATTCTATTGCTAACACGCTCAACAACAGAGGTATGTTATTTTCCCAGGGAATACGAGGAAAACATCACCATTTCTTTTATAAAGCACTTTGAGATCTCCTGATAGAAAATGTTTAAGGCAATATAAGCACGCAGTAGGATGACACCAATAAGATAGCCAAAGTGCCCATTATACGGACCGACAAAAGTCATCTTTGCACAAAAATTGTGCCTTGGCTGCAGTGACAGAGTGTCTGGAACCAGCACGTTATCGACCTGATCAGCTTTGGGGAGTTACTCTATCATATTACACCTGTGGCAGGTTTTATTTGCGGCACGAGAACAAGGGAACCAATTACTTTTCCTAGTTTAAAAAGCAGCATCTCGTTTAGGCAAGGGTAGCTACGCCTCCTCGGGATCCTCGTTTTGTCCTACACTGTCCAAAAGCTCCAACCCGCCCAACCGGGCAGAGCCCAGGTAACAACACGCTTTCAGGTGGTTAGTGAGGTTCTTCTGGGTACCAAAGCCCTTGCCACAGAAGAGACACCCAAAAGTACGCTCGTTTGAGTGCACAGACATAAGGTGCCGGTTTAAGTCTGTCTTGTCCCGAAACAGCTTGGCACAGTTAGGACACTGCATCTTCTTACAGTTGAAGTGGATGGTCTTTTCGTGCCGGTCCATGTTGGATTTCAGAGTGAAGCTGGCGGGACATTTGGAGCAGTGGAAGCGGGCGAGCTGGCCGGGAGGGACGCCCTCGGGCCGGGAGCAGCCAACCAAGTCCCAGGGGAGAAGCATGGAGAGAGCATGTTCATGGATGTGCTCCTTCAGCTCCTCAGTGCAGGGGAAAAGCCTCCCGCAGAAAGCACAGCTCAACCTCCTGGCCAGGGCTGAGTCCAGGAACTGGCCATCCGGGTGTATATCTGTGTCTTCAGATCTCGAGAAACTCGTATCTAAAACAGAACACACACACACACACGTACCAATCAGTGTCTGCTGGCAGAAAAATAATGAGAGTTTAAAATAATATTTTTCTCTCTACTTACCCGAATCTGAGTTATCAAACTGCCAAAGTGCTAAAAATCCATCGTAAGCGGCCTGCAAATGAAAAGCACACTGAAGTTAAGGCAAGCACTTGCATTTACATCTTTGTAGTTAGTGCTCAGGCTCTCATCGCTGCCTTCCCTCGCTCTTTGAGGGAGGCTCATCACTGGATTTGGCAACCCTACGTGTCTTTACAGAGCTTTCACTGGCAACGCAGCCAAGCTAACTGGGATGGATTTTGCAAGATTCTGTGTTTTGAAGAGAGTAATCAACTTATATCCTGGGTAACTACCCAGTTTTTAGTATCACTAAGCATCTGTAGCTCCCACTCAGGCCAACGGGAAAGAAACCCTGGACAGAAAATGTCCAGCAGATAGAACAGAACTGGAACATTTTCCCTTACCCCCATAAAGCTACTTTTTTCTTTCCAAGTAGAAAAGCCCATAAGAAAACCAACACCACCTGCCTATTTCCTTTTATGCAACGCTCTCTGGCATTGCTGACCCAAATTATAAATAAAAGCTGATTTTTAAGGTGGTTTTGGTTTTTTTGTTTTTTGTTTTTTTCCCCCTAAAGCATTTGCAATATGCCAGCGTGCAGCAGATGGCAACGCTCCATGAGGCAGAGGCATGATGCAGCCTGGGCAGGTCTGCTGGCCACCGGGCAAGCGGCTACCAGCCGTTCCAACCAGCTCGCTTTGCTCTAAGGTGACTTGCAAAGGAAAAAATCAGCATTTCCACCTATTTTATGAGACTAAAGCCTCATTAAAAAAATATTAAGAATAAGAAATGCCACAGAAAGCTAGGGATTTAATGTCAAACTCCCGATTCCTGTAACAGGGAGATCCAGCCTGCTTCTATCGGTATTTAGATAGAAGAAATCCAAATGTGAAACACCACAAGTGGGTAATGGATAACTGGGCACTCACCTATCTTTATGCCATTATTAATATTCCTGCACGCAATGGTTTGCAAAGGCATTTACAATTTACTTTAAAAAAATAAGAACAGTTTTTCGAACCCAGTTCTGTTGAGGTAAGGCAGAAAGGATAAAATTAGGACAGTACCAGCCCCGGCCTCAACAGAATTCTAGTTATAAAATAACCTATATTTAAAAAAAAAAAAAAAAAAGCAAGCTAACAGATCACAGTGTAAGTATTATGGTCATTCAAAGTACTCCTAACGGGAGAATTTGATTAAACAGATAACTTTGCATTTAAATGCCTTTGCATTTTTCCCCCACGATCTTACCTGGGTTGAGGAAGGCACCTCTCCTTTTATCATGGGTTCTGGTGACATTTCACCAGCAGAGCAGACCTCGGGGGGGCTCTGAGAGGCAAGGTGTGAAGAAGGCAGCGGGGGAGATGGTGCTTCCACTTTGCCATCACATTCGCCCCTTGAACGATTCAAGTTGGTGCCAGGCCCTGGGGAACACAGGAAACGAATCTCACCCACGTGAACCAGCACCAGCTGGTGGTTTTAAAAAAGGCCTTGCAAAGGCAGCTTATCTTCCGTCAGTGGGAGGGAATGCAGCAGGACAGTGATGCCAGGCTTTTTTTTTTGTGTGTGTGTTTTTTGTTTTTTTAAAAAAACAGCTTCCCCACCCAAAATGCCTCGTCTGTGCAGGATGTACATGGTGAGGCTCTATCGCACGGCGTGGGCACTAAGGAGTCCGTCAGGAGAACGAAGCACAGCAAAAATATCCAGAGTAATTGCTTTTCTGAAAGACATCGCTTGGAGAAGCCCCATTTCAAACACAAACATTTCAATCTTTAAGTAACATACACACAAACTTTATTCTACTACTTGCTTTCTTGAAAATTTAGGTTAAAGCTTCAGACTTGACCACAGTGTTTTGTTTAATACGGTACTGTCAGCCCTTGATCTCAAAGTGCTTTACAAAAGATGGGATACACTATCCCTTTCATTCTATAGCCAGCAAGCTTGGAAGTTCAAATATTTGTACAAAACAATTATACCTGACAGTCATTACATTCTAATAATCTACCATAGTTAAAAAGGAGAACATTATTTGTCTGGCCAAAGCAGAATCGTACCCTCTTGTCTACACCGTAGCAACAGCCAAATGGTAACAATATTCCAGAAAATGCACCGAAAAAAATCAATGACAAATCTACATACAAATAAAGACCGCAATCAAGACCAGTGTACATTACAAATTGTTAAATGAACTTTAACAAACACCTTGACTGAATATTGGAATGACATATTGAGCAGGTCATTATTTTTGAAAAGCAAGCAGGCAAAATCAGAAGCAAATATGGCATAAAAGAAAACAAATTCATATTTAAAGCACTCTATGCCCTAAAGGCTTTTTTTATTTCTAGCACAAAAGAGTCTGATTGAAACCTTTACGCATACGAAAAACACACTCTTCAATCTAGCTACAAATAACAAGTCAAAGTTTATACTCTGTGAATACAATACACTATGATCTGGGTCACAACAAAGCAGTCGAGTGAAACCACACAAAGGTTTCTAAACATGAACAATCCCAAACCCAACTTTTTATCAGCTTTCAAAAGGAAATTCAGCTCTTGTGCCACAAGCTGGATGTTTGATTTGCCTTCCTCTGCTTTGATCACGGATGGAAATCTCTCACCACTTCATTAAATCTATTCACATGTGATAAAAGTACTTTTTCATTCTGGTGGTGCTCATCTATTCCTGGTCTCATTTAAAGGCAGGACAACAAAATGCTAAAACCCAGTAAATTCAAAACAGAAAAAAATGAGGGGAAAAAAGTGAATTCCTGCCTAGCCATCAACACGTTCCTTTTTTTCCTGAGCATCCCAAACTGATTCAAACAGCCCTGTTTACACTGAAGCTGCACACTGTGACCACGGACAACTTAGAGGCATCTCCAGGTTGCACTTCCTTAAACAAACGGATAGAGTAAAGATAAGCCAGTGGGGTCTGGTTTGATTAATTCTTTGTTAGCACCTCTGGAGTTATACAGGTTCCTAAGAAACTATGCATTTCGTAAAGCAAAAGTTAAGGCTAGTGAACAAGCAGCGAAACAGAGCAAGGAGAAACAATAAACTCAATCATGCAACATGAGCCACAAAGGTGTACAACACAAGAGAGCACAAAGATGATTTTTAAAACAATAATTAATATTTATTTGGTTTCAACAACTGCAAGTAACACAAAAAGAGAAACCCACATAAATGACCCATCCTTTGTGCAACAGAACGCAAGGAGCACCTGAATTTACGTTTTGTCCCATTCTGACTAGTACTGCGAGAAACTTTTTTCCCCTCCTAAATCGGTATGGAAATGAATTTTAATGTAAAGTATTTTAACTTCTAAATCAGAAATCAAAAGTGCTTTCCTTCAGTCAGCTTTGAGTATGGAAGATGATGCACTGGTTTAGCACAACTCATATGAATATCATATTCTCTGACAGTTGGACAGTAAACTATTGTGGAAAACAGAAAGGCAAAGGTTTTTTCATCTCATTTAAAACTGCATGCAATCTCCCCTAAATCTTGGTTTGCCATGTACAAAAATCCCGTGCCAAACTGAATACCTTTAACTCCATCTCAGGAAAGCCGACCACTGTGTAAAATGTATTCCTTTAACATTCAGCTTGAGTATAAATTATTGGCTCCAATGAACCACTAACTAAAAATAACGTATTAGCTGGTTTGCCCAAAAGAAAAGGGCTCTGTGTACCATGTAATCACTTGGACAGCAAACTTCATAGGAATTGCTTCTATAAACAGTTTCAGTTGCAACAGGGTAAACAGGAAAAGCCAAACTTAGACATATAAAAAAAGCATGCAATGGACTATTCTGAAAATGTGGAAGAGTTGCCCTTTAAGGAAGTCAATCACCCCAAAATATGAAAGTTTTCTGACTTTTTTTTTTAAATGAGAAAACAAGGACGTAAACTAACCAACTCATTTTCTAATGAACGATAAAATTCTCATTTTCTCCATTATACTTGGCAAAACCAGCTAAAAACATTCAACTAAAGCCTTTGAGACCTTTGTAGATGTGGTGTAACCGTACGGAACAATGCTACCAAAGTTCAGTATCATAAATGAAATAAAACACACATTATTAAACCAAGGAGCTCGGCAGAACAGCACTGCTGGGGTCAGAAACCAGCAAAGAATAACCCACTTTTACAGACAAATCATGAAAACATGTAAAGACAAGGAAAACTGAACCTCCTATGAGGTCTTGTCTGAAAGACAATCCAAACAACACACTTTGCAAGCTCAATAACTAAGGGTACCCAAGACGACCCCAGTGTAACTCATGAATAACTGACATGTACTTTTTTTTCTTCAAAACCTGCACATTCTTTAGGTTTCCGACAAGCACATGAACAATGTCAGTTTTGATCATACACCATGAACATCATAAACTCCCAGAGCCCTTCAGCTGCAGGTTTTCTGGCAACTGTGCTACCCAAATGGCAAGGTATTTAAGTTTTCCCTTCCGATGTTGAATTAGTTTGAACTGTTTTAACTTTAGAAATGCTGTGCTTATGTTTCACTACATCACAGTGATATAACACCCCCCCACACACACACATCCCGGGCTTCATTTTCCATCAGCAGAATGTTAAGTAATGTCATCTCTCATACGATCATTGCAATATACAATGAAATAGGAAAAAAGGACATGGGGTAAAATGAAAATCTTGGGGCATCCTCTATTAACTTTTACAACAGCATGAACTATGCAGAAGAGAAAACAAGAACTTGTAATGTATGCAGTAACTTGGAGAGTAATATCCCCTTTACAAATGGCTCATCAGAGTTTTAAACATGGATAATATACTCTTCAGATTTTCCACCTCCATTAAGTTTTTTCCTCCAGAAAAGAAAAATAAACTTGACCACTGCTCCTTGAGTCAGTCATTTACTGTAGTGCTTCATAAGAGAGTAGGAAGGCAATCTAGTGGCAACAGTTAAGATTAAAAACACACTTCACATTTTTTTAAAGTCAAGAGAAATTGATCAGTTAAAATTCTTTAACTTAGTGCATTTCCTCTTCAAATTAGGCAGATGAAAACTGTGCTGGGTTTTTTCTTTAAAAAAAACCCAATAAACAACAACCCAAAACCCCCCTTGTTCTTGTTCACTGTGCTCCTGCCGACTCCCCCGTCTTTTTTTTTTTAATATAACCCAAGACTTAAAATGACTCAACATCCTCAAATTGTGTTTGAAGAAAAATGTGAAAAACACCTACAAAGCTAGCACAGACCTAGACTGTGCTTTTAGATCTCCAGAACCTTCTTACCACTTGCTTTACTGTCGTTTTATACACCAAAAATTCTCATTAAACTTGGCGTCCTATTGTATTCAGTAATGACCACTTTAAAGCAAGCGAGTCATATCAGAACTTCTTTTTCAAGTGATTAAAATAAATCAATACCTGTGAATCTGCGTAAGATGAAAGAAAAATACGTCCCTTAACTCCCTGCTTCTGTAAAAATCCTTTTACCAGGCCACAGAGACATCCACCTACTGGTGCCAGAGCTCCAGACCAAGTGAGAAGTTGTCATTTTGTCTCATGCAATTCACAAAGATGAGATTATTGAAGCTTAACTGAAGGAAATTCTAGTAATAGCAAAAGGACTGGAGAACAGGGACCTCAAATACAGGCTGGAACGACCTCCTCAGTCATCGCAGCCCTCACTGAGCTATCATTTACCCCCTTTTCTAATCTATCAAGCTTTATTTTAAACTAAGCTGATCTTCTGCCTACACCACGTCTGTTCCTGAACTCCACTTCTCAGCTCATTAGGCAATCTCTAATTTCTGCCCCAAATTTATGACTGCCTTATACTCATTTGTCTTCACGCCAAGTGGTCCTTCAGCTTTTAAGTAAAATCTAAAGCCGCGAGAAGGATGATGGATAGAGGGCGGCCCCATCATTCCAGTTTGTCATGCCAGAAGATGAAAGCGTTGATTCCACCTGTCAGGAGCCAGGGATGGGAAGACGTGGAGCATCAATCACCCCTCGCAGCAGAGCATCATCCATCTCTGCTCCCACCTGCCCCGCTGCCAGCCGAGGGCTCTTCTCACCAGCCACCCCACACCTGGCTGCACCAGCATCTGGGCAACCACGGGCTCTCCAACCCAGAGCCCAGTCTGAACCGCCAAAATCTGATTTAACTGGAGATCATTCAGTAAGAGAACTAACCAGTAACAAGATCATTGCATTAGCAATTCTCCCCCAAACACTAAAGCTCCAGAATAAATACAAAAAATTTTTTTTCCTTTAAATTTAGGAAGATTTTCAAAAAACTATTACTGCTGTCCAGACACAAGAAGTGAAAAGAGATACTAAGACCAACATAATATTGTGCAGTTTTTTCCCTTTATCGTACAACCCAAGTGACCAGTAAAAGTTACCTGGTTTTTTTGCCATCAAGGAAACTAAAAATAAATATCTTAAGTGACCTTTTCATTCTATTTAATTGGTCAGTTTTCTCTTATACTTTAAAATAAACCTCTCTTACTGAAAACTAACATGTAGTACTCAGAAAGCCACCACTTGCTCTGTTTTATGTCAGATTATATCTCCATCTTCTGAGAGCATTACTAAAATACACCATTAATGATTTTTCCTTCTTTGTGCACTGGAGAATCAAACTATTTTACGATTGCAATGAAGAAAATACAAATATACTCTGGAAAAATGAGCTGTCCATGTCATGGTATGTATCAGCTGTCTCCAACTGATCACCAGGAGAAAAAACACTCGTTTCCATGAGAGAGTATAACGAAACAATCAAGAGCTGCTCATTACTTAGAGAGAGGTCTAAAAGCAAACAGCAAGAAGGAAAGCTCACGCTATCTACAAAATCACAACTGTTTCTACAGACACAGGAGCAGCAGCCAAACCTCTTTTCAACATCAGGCAATTCTGGATTCCAAACCTTTGTAGCTACTTCTTTTACCATAAGGACTCAAATACTTTGTATTTTGTTTTTAAGTACCATTTTGCAAACAAGCAAAAGAGAAATTTGAGGACAAGCACTACACACACTAAATGCTTACTTCCATGGCCTACATTAAAGTTGGATCAATACCAGACACAGGTTTCCACATTTTATGGAAAGTGGGATTAAGCAGCACTTAAAACTGGATATAAACATCGTGGTAGCAATAAACGAGACAGTGACCTGTATTTTGTTCTCGCTAAAGATTTCACTTAAAGTATCAGTAAACAAAAAAATAGAAAAACATAAACTTACGAGAGAGCGAATGCGTGCCTTTGGGCAAGTACTCAAAGAGCAGAGAACTATCCTCTCCCAGCATGTCGGCCTTCAGAGACAGCAAACTGTTCTTACTCATGAGAGCCGCGCGCAGGTTGGCCACGGTGGCAGCTTGGAGGGCGTCCTCCTTCTCCGGGGTGAGGGGCTGGGAGATGTAGCTGGCTTCCCCCCCGAGGAGGGCTTCCTCCACGCTCACGTAGGGGTCCGGCCGCTCCACTCTGCTGTCAGAGCTGCTGGGCTCTGTCACTGTCACATCAGCACCTGCACGAGCAAAGATGCCATCAGAGATGTAAATTCCTGAGATGAGGAACATCGATCACACATCCCCATTTAACTGTGGCTCCAAAGAACCGAGACCTGGCAACTCATCACCACCTGTTCTGGCTTTATTGTCACCTTTCAGGTGTTTCCATCCCCTTTTCCAGGAGTCTGAAGATGAACGTGGCTGTTCAAAGGCTCAACAAAGTGCACTCACCCCACAGCTGGGGGTCTCTGTTCTTCCAGCCTCTGCCCCACTAACCCCAGCACCACACGCTGAGAGGGCAGGACAGAAGGGGAGAGACGTGTCCAATCTCCCCCAAAACCAAGAACTGGAAAAAAACTTATTAATTTACTTATTTTAAACTAAGATTTCAGAATATTCTAGTACTGAAATTACTTTCAAACACTTAAATTCTTTTTTCCCCATAATTTTACTCAGGTAGTCTGGATTTTCTTTCTTTCATTTCTTCCCCATGATGAAGGCTTTGAAAAATCCAGTAACAAACAGTCTATGACAGTGGACTGCTAATTAGTATAAAATCCTTGGGGTCATTTGTTTAAAAAATTACATAGTAATCAGTGGCTCCCAGCATATATCACAGGGTAGGTTTTATACAGAAGTGATACAGTTGGGAAAAGAAAAAAAGGAAACAATCCAAAAAACTACAGATTGCCACCTTACAACAGGGAGCTACTAAGAAACTATATAAAAACATAACAAAAACATCAATTAGTAAACCAAAACAAAAGTGAAAAAGCTAAAATAAGGTTAATTCCTCCATGTCAAAATATACATTCATTATGGAGTCTCTCATGCTGTGAACTTTGACTCACGTAAAGGAAAGTGATTCTTACACTTATCTTTACCCTTCACAGGAAGCAAAAAATTATCTTCAAAAAAGGCTGTTACCCCATTTATAAAGTAGGTAAAATAAATTGCAATTACCTACTCCAGAATCTGCAGCAGCAGAACATGCCCCAAACCCATCGAGTACCTGGCAAACAGGGCTAAAACTTCCCAAAAAACAGAAGCCTTTCCATTATTTGTATTATCAACACAGAGAGGGAAGAAATCCAAAGAGAAGACATTGACGATGAGTGATCAGGGGGAAAAAGAAGGTGGTTTTTTTTTTTTTTTTACAGATCCTGAGCATTTTAGTGCCTCCTAGTTCAAGATACATTTAAATCTACTTAATGCAAGAGGCAACTATTACAAAATAGTGGTTTGACATGTACAAAATTAACACTCAGCTGCTTTCACAAATTCTTCTCACACTTCTCAGGGCAAGGAATTCAGGCGTTGTCCACATACAGCCCAGCAATAACCTGACTCCCCTGCAGAGGGTTTCCCAGCCCAGAGATGCAGAGGAAGGAGGAGGAGGAGGAGTGTGACACACTCACATGCAGCTGCAGTGTCCAAATACGTCAAACCAGGGCAAGATATCAATCTGCACAGCCCGATTAAAAAATGCTAATGAGGACACTGGTACAGTGCCTACCTCTGTAACCTGGAAAACTGCTAAAGGAATATAATTATTTTTATTTCTTTTACAGGTGGTAACGGCCAGAGAAAGACGCGGTGACTTGCTCCAGGTGTCCAGCCCCACAGAGCCAGGCTCTGTCACTGAATTCCCCAGCCCAGGGCACATCAGGTTCCTTACCATGGTCAGATTTACTTTATTCAGCTGTACTGTACTGCCAGTACCCCTTGCTGTTAACTTTTTCCACTTCCTTTAAAAAACAAAAAGCCTCAAATCAAACAATAAGGAAAATCCACTCACTAGCAGAGAACTCCTACACCCCGGACGTGTAAGGAATAGCCAGGGCTGGGGGTACACACACAGCAGCAGCAACTATGCCAAATACCTGAGATGCTCTCTCTTTAAAACAAACCATTTTCACCCCTCCATCGGTGTTTTGCTTGTGTAATCTCATATGATCAGTTTTATTGAATCTTAGCCAAGCAGAAGAATTCAACTGCTTTGAATTTTTACATGTTTTGTCATCCCCCTGTTTCTGAGCGAGCGGTTAACAGGCATATGCACTTTTCTAGATGATAATCAAATTTGTTTTAAAAACAAACGTTTCCACATAAAGGGAAATTACAAGAGTTTAAAAAACAGCAGCTGCTACAAAAGGTGGCAAAGCAAGTAAATTCTAGCCCATTAAATTGGTAATGTAACAGACAGATTTATCCAATCAAAGCAACGATAATACTGCTGTTCCTCTGCTCCTCGCCACCTACACGGCAAATCACAGCAAACAACTGGGGCCAGGAAGAGTGTTTGTCAACAAAACGGTGTTGCCAATAACGGGGCAGGCAGTAAATCACCTTGCATTTTCTCTTTTCCTTTTTCATAGCCAATTACAGATGCTGATTGACAGTTGCCAGAGTCTGTTACTGCCTGCTGCACATAAACACTAATTGCTAAAACACACGCAGATTAATTGTAACCACAACAAGACATTAAATGTTCCTCAAAAGCCAAGATTAGAGACAGACAGTGAAATAGAGGCTTTAGAGCTTCCAGTATTTATAGCTGATGTAACCTAATCAAATACATATTAAGGCAAAATAAATATCCACTTAGTCACATAAGTACTGAAATACTCTCAGTCCACCAAAACCCCAAAATGCATGAAGTTCCTCTTCACGGCGCCTCCAAAACCACTTCTCCCTTTTCTCCAAAACACGGCTTCTTTTAACAAGTTTAGCCAAAGAATTATATGAATCAAAAGTATCTGTCACTTCCCAGTAATCTAAACTGTTTACTCCAACGCTTCAACAGGACGTAAACCAAGCTTTAGTAAATGAGCTTCTATTTTGCAATTACTCAAGGCAGCGGGGCACGTGGCAGCCCGAGAGCTCCCACTGATTCCCCCACATCTCCTATTTTCTCCCCACTGAAGCAATTCCTGCCGCTGCCCGGGCTCCCGGCACCGCTCGCAGGAAACCCCCACCAGGGCAGGAGCTAAACACGGGATTAACGCTGCTCTAAAAAACTGAGCTCATTAGTCTCTTTAGCAAATAATTACTTCGCAGTTATTCTATGACACCAGCCTGCTTTCCAAAAGACAGAAGCTTTAGAAAAGCTTTATTAGTTTGTTGACTTGGATAAATATTTTTTTAAATTATTTTTTATTTTCAAATAAAACACAGGGAATATTTTTTTTACAGTTTTGGTAACGGCGTTTCCACGCATCCCTGAAACTCTGAAAGCAACATGTAACAGGTAAAATTTTTCCATACACACGAAAGCCTAATATAAAAGGAATGTGGGAAGCCCGATTATGAGCATCTTCTCACTGACATCACATCCCAGCAGAGCACGGCAGGAAAAACACCCTTCATTCCCAACCAGGCAGTTTTAACATATCTGTAAATGGGAATAATGCTCAGGCCAGTACAACCCCCCGACCGCACAAAGGGTCGCTGTTGCACAGAAATTTACCTTTGGGAAAAACAAAACTGAACCCTACGCTTGCTCTGCAAGGGAAGGATGGCCCCAGGAAAGTTGTTTGCTTTGCCACACTATGCAAAGCCCAAATCCAGATCAGAAATTCCATTTATCAGCAGACAGGCCACTACTACCATTAAAAAAAACCACCAAAAAACAACCTGTAAGTCCTATAAAATGAGCTCCCATCACAAACCCAGGTATAACAAAACCAGTTTGTACCAGTTAGAAAAATCAGGAAGTACCACAGACCTCTGCCAGGTCCTTGGGAAGGGCTATGGCAGAAATAACAGTGATGCAACTTACTAAAAGTATCCAAATGAAACACTAATGTGATAAATTGTTTTCCAAGATCTAGGAGAAAACTGACAGTAAAAAGCATTAAACCTAGTCAAACAACTGAAAAAATACAGGCCATCTCAGAAAGACGAAATTCCTGCTGTATTATCTGGATCCATTTTTAAGAATCATAGAATAAATCAGGTTGAAAGTTACTTCAGGGCTACTTTTTGAGTTAGATCCCATTGCTCTGGGGCCTGTACAGCCAAGTTCTGACTATCTGCAAGGAGGGAGATACCACAACTTCTCCAGGCCCTTCCTCCATCATTTCACCACTCTGTGAAGAATTTCCTCCTTTTACCCCATGAGAATCTCCCTTCCTATAACTTGTGCCCATTACCTCCCATCCTTTCTCTACGCGCATCTGAGAAGGGGCTGGCTCTGGACAATCCATCCATCCACCCCCCTTCTCTTCCTCAAGGTTGAACCAAGCTGCCTCAGCCTCTCCTTGTACACCATATCTTGATGGCATCAGCTGGGCTTGCTCAAGCTTCTCAAAGTCTTTCTTGTCCTGGAGATCCCACTCCAAAGGTGGTCTCGCTTCCCTCGACATGCTCTTCATAAGCCAACAGAGCACGTAGCCAGCCTTCACCACCACGAGGGCACACAGACCCCTCTTCAGCTCCTTCCTCACCAGAACACATGTTCTGCAAAGCTGCTTTTTCACTCCTTGGCTGCCAACCCGCACCGGTGCATAGGGTTTTTCTGTCCCACACGCAGGACTTCACATTTGTCTTTGTTGAATTCCTGCCGTTTCTGGCACCACTGCCTTCCAGCAAATCATTCCTCCCAGCCTGGTGTCATCCAACAACTTGCTGCGGGTTGACTCCATCCCACCACCCAGGTTGTTAATGAACAAAGCAAACAGCATCAGCCCTGGATGCTCCCTGCGATGGATGCAGGTATCAGGCTTTTTGGGGTAGCAGTTTAGGATCTCCTGCACACAGCTGGGTAACGTGTACTGCAGTGGGAAATGTCATTTTTATTTTGTTTACAACACAACAGGCAAAAAGGGCAGAGGGGGGTGAGGGCAGAGGTCCCAGCATCAGCAATGTCTCCCACCCCAAATGCTCATTCCTGCATCCTCCCCTCCTACTCCCTCAGTTGTACCAAGACCACACGTCTTGTTGTGAGGTGAACCTGAGACAGGAACTAATATGTTAAAAATAAACTGGTTTATTAAAAAAGTTATTTTTAAACCCA